TGAAAGGTGATTGCAGCAGAGCGGGGCTGGTCTCTGCTCAATGGTGAACAGGTGAACAGGATGAGGGGAAATGGCCTCAAGTTGCAGCAGGGGAGGTTTAGGTTGGATATCAGGAAACACTTCTTTGCAGAAAGGGCTGTGAAGCACTGCCATGGGCTGCCCAGGGAGGTGGTTGAGTCACCATCCCTGGATGTGCTTAAAAACCGTTTGGATGTGGTGCTCAGGGCCGTGATGTAGGGGTGGGCTGTTAGAGTTGGGGTAGGATGGTTGGGCTGGGGTTGGACTCCATGATCCTTAAGGTCTTTTCCAACCTGAGCAATTCTGTGATTCTGCAGTGCTGGTGGTTTGCAGCAATGACAGAGATCCCTCACATCGTGTCTCCCACATCTTCACATCTAAATTCAACTCCAGTTTTTCAGGCTGCTGGCAGCACCACGGGGTTTGTAGTCTGAGAAGCTGTGCCTGCTGATGGATGGCTTCACTGATTAAGTACAGACTAATCAGAATGCACTTAGTAATAACTAGATACCAGATTTTTGTTTTCTTTCTTTCTGGGTGATATGGAATAGGAAGTGATGCTACAGTGCACTTTGCAGCAACAGTGACTTTGGGAGAGCAGGTGAAACAGCTGGAAACATTAGGTACCTCAAGTGCTGTGTTCAGCTAGAAAGACATTGAGGCCCTGGAGTTTGTGGGGAACAGAGCTGTGAGGGCTCTGGAGCACACGTCTGAGGGAGCTGAGGTGGGTCAGTGTGCAGAAGGGGCTCAGGGGAGACTTATAGCCCTCCACAACTGCCTGAAAGGAGGTGGTGATGAGGTGTGGGCAGGCCTCTGCAGCTGGTTAACAGTGATAGGACAGAGGGAACGGCCTCAAGTTGTGCCAGAGGTGAGTCAGGTTGGGTGTTAGGAAACATTTCTTCTTCGAAGGAGTGATGCTGCAGTGGCACAGCTGCCCAGGAGGATGGGGTCACCTGGAGGTGTTCCACAATGTGGGGATGTGGCACTGAGGGATGTGGGCAGTGGGCAGGATGGGGTGGGCTGGGGCTGGGCATCTCAGAGGTCTTTTCCAACCTGAATTATTCTACTATTCTGTGTGGAAAGAGCTGTTACTACCCTCTGTCCCAGCCATAGCTGATCTCATACATGAGTTTTAATGACTGTGTGGCCCTTCAGATTTATGCTATGGAGAAGCAGCCATCCTTAGGCAAGTAAAGATGGCAAGCATTGCTGCACTGAAATGCTCAGCAGAATATCTTCAGTGGTCTTCTGGTCCATGCACACCTCATGCTGGAAGTAATTAGTACAAAACCCTAATCTTTTTTTGCATCCGAGCCACGCGGTATAATCCAGCCTTTCAGAAGGATAAGTCAGTATTTGTGAGCTCACTTGGATTTAATGTAAACAATAAAGGGCTAATTCAATAAAATGGCTCTGACCCATCAAAATCCACTCTCAGGAGCTGTACTATAGGCTGGGAGCCCACAAGGAGCGTTGTGTGTGTAGCAAACTTGCCTGTCTGCAGAACAGCTGACAGTGCAGATGTGTCTGCCCTAAAATGAGACAGTTGTTAGAGATTGTTTCTACTTTTGCTTTTTGGGGCCGTCTGCCTTCTTCTTCAAGAATTTGTGAAGTGTGATATGAGAGCTTTTCTGATTTATTCTGTTAGAAAAAGTGAAGAAAAGGGAAAGGAACAATATAAACAGGAGGAGGAATGGCTGTGTGTGAGGGTGGATGGTGATGGGACAAGGGGAATGGTTTTACACTGAGACAGGGGAGGTTTGGGTTGGATATGAGGAGGAAGTTTTTCAGCCAGAGGTGGTGAGGCACTGGCACAGGCTGCCCAAGGAGGCTGTGGATGCCCCATCCCTGCAGGCATTCAAGGCCAGGCTGGATGTGGCTCTGGGCAGCCTGGGCTGCTGGTTGGCGACCTGCACACAGCAGGGGGTTGGAGCTGGATGAGCACTGTGCTCCTGTGCAACCCAGGCCATGCTGTGATTCTGTTAAAGGAGAGGGAGGAAGGAAGGAAAGGAAAAAAACCCAAAGACAATTAGCTGGGATAATGAAATTAATTGTTGTTTTTCATTTTTTACTGTAAGATTCTTTAGAGGAGTGTAGCTTTCAGGAAACTTTGAGGATCTTTACTGATTTATCATCTCTAAAAACAAAATCAGAAGAAAGCTATTGGAAATGAAGGCATCCAAGAGCAGCTCCTGTTGGCTCCTGAAAGCTGAACCTAAAAGCTTCCAAACTTTTCAGTTTGCCGACCCTGAGAAGTTGCCCAGGGAGGTGCAGAATGGGCCTGGTGAGGTGGAGCTTGTGGAAACAGGCTGCTAGCTGCTGATGCCTTTAGGCTCTGTTGGTCACAAATTCCATACGATGTAAATAATTGGTGACTGTAGAAAAGTCTTTATGAAGCTAAAAGAGTGTTACTTGTGAGCAGCTGCTCCTTACAACTTATTTACTCCAAGGATTGTCCTTTGCTGTTGAAGGAGCTGAGTTTTACGTACCATAGAACCATAGGATGGCCTGGGTTGAGAAGGACCATAATGATCGTCCAGTCCATATATGCTTTGTATATGTGAATCCATGTCTGTAAACTGTGTATTTTAACTACTCTGCACAAAGGTTAATGGCTCTTGGTCTGCTTCTTAGCACTGACTCGTATGTCAGTTGTTTTTAAGCAGTGGTCTTGAAGGGGTGAGCATCAGTGTGTTTCCATGGGGCTCTTGGGCAGCTGATGAAGTCTGTGAGTTCAGCCTACAAAGCACAATCTGTTGTATCAGACACATCAACCAGATCACTTCACACTTTGGCTTTGCAAGAGCATCTTTGTTCATTTGTTTTAAAGCAGTACTCCTGCCTGCACACAGGCTGTCGGGGTGGAAGGGGGCACTGATCACCCGCTGGCCTCCTCCTGTTGCCAAAGGCTGTGCTGTGCTCTCTGGAAGCCAGGTTAAAGCATTCTGTTAGAACTGTACCTGTTAAGGAGAACTAAGGCAGCCACATCCTTAGCTGAGGTGGTCCAATATTGGATAATGCTTATTACAAGGGAATTAACTCTTAGCTTAGAGTTGAATCCATATGGCTCCATGCCATCCAGCTGCAGGATTGTGATGTACTTCTGTTAAACTGAGACGTTCCTGGCCGTCGGCTCTCTTCTCGTTGCAGCCATCTCTTCAGCTTCGTACAGTGAGCTTTGCTTTTTGATAGCTGAGTATTTCTGTAGTCTTTCTTTGAATGCTTGGGGGATATTCCAGCCTCCTTCAAAGCACAGCAGACCTTACTGGTTACTCCAATAGAAGTCTCACCTCCTCTTTCTATCCATCACAGACAGAGGCTTGAAACCAGTTGTCTCAGCCTGATGATAACCTGAAGGAGCCTGAACAGACACATTTCTGCTCACTTAGAAGTTTGTAGGCATTCGGACGTGTATTTCCATATGACCTCTGACCACCTAGCAGGTAAGTGTCTTTGCAAAGGAACAAGTCCTTTTTGTTTTATCCTCCTGACTTTACAGAAGGAGATTAATCACTGACTTTAACCTTCAGATTGAGTGACTTACCCCAGGTTTCAGCTATATCTGTATTACTTATGGATATGAAAAAAGAAAAAGAGGGTCTCTAACACCTCCTTATTACTTCAACACAGAGGTTTTTAGGCTTGGTATCTCCCAGACCACAACGCTTAAAGTACCTTTAGATGTTGTCTTGTATGCCCAGTTTAAGACACTGTTATCCTCAAGTACTCTTCATGACATTAATGTACATTGCTTTTCCCAAGCTCTGTGAGAAGTATAGATTGTGTAACTGCTCATCTGCCAGATTAAATTAGGATGTGTGTCCTCAGCATTTTTAGTCTCTGAATCAGAACTGCCTTAGTATCACATTATCCTCTGCTCTTTCTGCTCCCTTCTTCCCATGCACTTCAGTAGTCATCAGGCTTTGGAATTGGACAGCTTGGGGAAGGTAAAAACACTGATAATTACTCTTTTTCTTGGGGTTAAAATGCAATCACATTAGGTTTCTTCTATTAATTAGGGAGAAATCTCTAGAAGGTGGTTCAGACTATCTGCATCATGGTGTTCCTCCTCTTGGAAGGAACTGAAGATGTGATACAATTGAGCTGATGGAGCATCTTACCCTTCTACTGAAAGAGGTAATTCTGCCCCCCTACTGTACAGCCAGGTCTGCCTTTAAGCAGCTAACTCGCTGTCTTGTGTAACAGCACTCTGACTTCCTTGGAGAAGCACCATACACACGCAGAAGGGTAAGACAGCACAGGATGAAAAAGCCAGCAGGGTGAGCCAGCCTTTTTGCTGACAGTTTGCTGTGAGATTGGCTTAGAGATACCACATAACCATTCCCTGAAATTTCCTGACCAGTCTGGCTGCGTTAGAAATGGCATCTCTTACTGGCCAAGCTGTGGTTTGATAATCTCCAGCAGAGGAGTAGTGAGGTATCCTTAGGCCAGATAATGCCTTGAATTGTAATGCTGTTTGCTAATCAAATCTTGTCCAATTAGAGATTACACACACATTTAGGCATTCCTATCACCATTATCTCATTTTTAGCCTCCCAGGACACAGCTAGTTTGAAGAATCCCAGCTTCTCTTCCAAGAGGCTGTTAACCCTCTGTGTGAAACTGAAACCCTCCTCCCTGCAATAGTTTCAGTGTTCAACAAAACCAAGTCTCCCCTCCTTCACTGTTTGCTTACCTAGCTAAACTTTCACTTACTGTTCCAAGCCAGGAAAACTTGCTTGGAAAGTTTTCTGAAAAGGTCATTTAAAAACCCTTTTCTGAAGCCTGTCATGAGCTCCAGAATGGTGCCTGGTCTGATGTCATGGATGTCAACATGGGCTGTAACTGAAGTCCTTTCTGAGCTTGGAATCGTTCCACGTTTGTTCAACGATGTTGCTTTCATTCCTGGAAAATGATAAGCTTTTCTGTTATCTTTCTTTTGTCTCTTGCAGATTGTCTTAATCAGATTCCTTCGTGGCATCCTCAGACAGGACTGTCTGTCAGCTCTGACATCTTGAGGATTGTCTTTGACCTCTGAAATCTGCCTGCTTTGAGGCAGTAGTAATTCTCAGTCTGTTCCTCCACCTAATTCTTGCAAGGCTCTTCCCGTGTTTACAATATCAGGTATAACTGAACACACTCAGGATGAAGATTTCATGCTTCCTCCTTTCTCTGTGACATTTTCACTTGTTTTTTCTTTCTCTGACCCTGTTTTTTCATGTGATTCCTCTGGGAGAGTGTGTGAGAGTTCCTGTGCAGTAATTTGAACCTGCCTATTGAGGAAAGGTGTTTCTCTACCAACTTCCTCCTTCCCCTGAACTATTAGAGGCAAAAGGATGGCTTTTTGAAAGGAGGAACAGAGATTTGTCACATCCAATGTAGTGCTGAAAACCCTCTGCCCATCTTCATTGCTGATGGGAAACTGCACTACTGTGGAAAGGCAGTACTGACAGCATATCCTTAAAGCTGATGCTAACCACATGAGAGTTCAAAAAGCCACCACAGAACCCCTAAAGACCCTGAGGATGTGCTCTACACAGTCTCCTTGTGAGATACTGAAGGCAGCAGTATCCTGGAGCTCAGCCTGCTGCCAGGACTCCTTCATTGTGATTATTAGTGTGCTCACGATTGGGATCCAGGGTTAATAACCTCGTTGCTAGTGGACAGGCCCATCTGCCTTTGTTTTCTGCTCTTCTCAAAGCTGTATTTGTGCCCAGATGAAGTCAAACCTCTTTAGATTACAACTGATGACAGAGATGCAGAGATGGAAATAGCCATCAAGTCTCGAGTTGGGCTTCCCTACCATAGCTCCACCTCGTGCTTCAGGAAAGGAAGCATTCAGAGAGGAAAGTAACTGGCCTGCATTAATTAGAGACTTTTCCTCTGCTTTGCCCAGTGACAGGCTGTCAGTCAGTAATTACAACGCATCAGTAACCCCCAACTTTTCCCTGCTGTTGCTGCTTGGTGAGCTAATGAGGGAGAGCTGTGCAGAGTGCTTTGACGTTGCACAGAGGATCCATTACTTCACTTTCTGAAAATGGGATTCCAGTTGTAAGGTTGGGCTTTACCATGATGATGTTGCTTTGTGTTCCCAAGGCACTCTGTGAATTCCCTTCTGCTGGGGCTCAGCAGTAGGTGTGCTACACTGCACTGAGGCACGCTGCAGCACTTGCCTGTCTTTGCTTCAGAGCGGAAGGAGGATTGTCCCCATTCTGTTGTGTGTGCTGATGATCTGCTCCACCTCATTAGCCCAGCAGTGCTGCTTAGTGCTGGGAGGATGACCCCGAAAGATCCACCCACCTGAAAGGGATGAAGAGAGGCAGCCCAGACAAGGCTGCCAGCTCTGCTTCCTCCATGGGAATCACTTTGGCAGGAGTGAAGGAAATGCAGGGATGCAAAGGGGCAGTGAGTTCCTGTCTCTCTTGTAGGCACTTGGGGTGATGGATGAGATCATTCCAGCCCAGGATTTTTAAATCACACGCATGCATATAATAGTAAACAATACACATTCAATAACACATATAATACTGGATATATTGGTGCATATGGTGCACCAATGGTGCATATAATACTGGATGTGTTCAAGACGTGTCTGGATGTTGTACTAAGGGATGTGGCTTAGTGGGGAGCTATTGGTGGTAGGTGGACGGTTGGTCTGGATGATCTTGGAAGTCTTTTGCACCCTTGGTGATTCTATGGTTCTAAATCATATTCAGTAATCAACAGTTCAGGTCCTGATTTGAACTAAGTAGACCTCAGCTGGGGAGCTGACCTTACTGTCTCTATGACATTTACAAATGCCAGCTGCTGGGTTATTTTAGATGTTTTCTCAAGAACTCGATGTGCACAGAGATCCTATGACCAGCCCCCTCAAGGAAGCATACGTGAAGTGCTTTCCCCTTTAGTTTTGTAGGATTATGAGTTTAAAAGACTTCTGATTCTTAAAAGCAGTCCTTTATAGCTGGATGAAAAAAAAAAACCAACAGTCGATTAAAGTACAACTCTGATCTAACCCAGCTCTCAAAAGCTGGTATTTGAATAGGGTGTTATTTCAGTTCCAGGCACTTCAGCAGATTTTACCAGATACTTGGGTTTGAACATCATATATCATGTGTCTTCTGACACCGGTGAGATTTCAGTACATACTCGAAGGCACTAAAATATTTTGCTGAACAGGGATGTTACAAAGTATGTCCTCAAATTAAAAATAGCTGTAGTTCCTAAAAACCTCAGTTGTCTCAGCCTCTTTGGCCAGGATCTGCTGGAATTAATTTGGGCTGCCTTGGTGTCATAAGAAGGGACAGACACACATTTGGGTACAGATCCAGAGCACCGACTTTCGGAGCGAATTTCTCCTGTGTAAAGCAGTTGTTAAGACCTCAAAAAAGAGATTTGAATGGAGAATGCTGTTGGCATAGCGATAACTATCAAACTGAATGGCGTTTTGGAAAGAACAACACTTGATAACAGCTGTGTTTGCCTTAAGCATTTTTAGAGTTCAGTTCAGAGCAGTTCTGTACCATATATGTAGAATTTTTATGCAGAATTTGCATACAGAAAGCATGGAATGCTCTTTACTGGGTAAATTATTTGCTTCTGCTATTTATTGCACTCCCTCCTTCCCCTGGGCACACGTGGCTGCAAGGATTTGAGTTAGTTGAGAAAACAGGTGTGCCTAGTCAGAAGAGCAAAATGCCTGTATTCAAGGGGAAAGCAAGATTTCTGTTTCAAACGAGATGCATAATGCAGTCCTCCCTTTGGGTCCATCTAAACTGACCTTTTGGCAAGAGCAAATTAAGGCACAGATACCATGGCCTCATCCCATAGAGATGCTTCAACTCTATCCCTATTAGGCAGAAGATTGAAGTGCAGTCTTAAGCCATTCCTCTGGGTGGTACTTCAGGTCATCTATACATGGACTCTTCATAGGGACCAGGAGGGAATGTACATGATAAAGGTGAACCAGTTCAGCAGCTCACTTGAATTGGAAGGGGCAGTTCTGTTGCTCTTCCTTATGCACCTAAGTGGGTCCATTCCTTCTGCTGCAGCCACTCATGTGCTTGCCTGACTGCGTGGTAGAAGCTGAGCCAACTCACCAGCAAGAAGGATAAAAGGAACTCATTTCTTTTTCAGTTGGAACAAATATTTTCCCACAGGTGGAGTGAATTGCACTGAGGGTGTGAATGGTCAATTTCCTCAGTCAGAGCTCATCTCAGAAGATTCTGACCTGTTTCCCAGAAGGCCAAAGATCAAAGTATTGCAATGCACACCCTGCAAATCCTGCCTTGTGTTATAGCTGGATGTGGATTTGGAAATGGAAGGATTGGGGACGTGCAGCTTTCTTGGAAGTTCTGATAGTGGAGATACAATGAGTAACAGATGATACCACGACTGATTTTGGCATTTTTGCTTTTCTAGTCATGTACTTATTTCTGAGTCCTTGGGGTGGAGGCTTTCTCATTCCTCAGTCTTTGTGCAAATTACTAATAGTTCAGCAGGAGATTTTCTTATAATCCAGCAAGGATGGAAGCAGAAAGACACAGTTCTGCTATGACTGTGCCTTCTGTGTAGGATCTACATCCAGGTTTTAAATCGTGGTCATTGCTTATAGCTATCTTGGGCTTCTGGTCTGTGCTCCTTGTGGCATTTGGCCTTCAGTAACTGGAAAGGCTGCCATTCCCCACTGCCCACCCAACCTCCCAGCTGCAGTCAGGGTTCCACAGGAGAAGCATGGGTGATGTGGTTTAGCTAATGCTATTAGCACTCCACTGTAAGAAAGGGGAAGATAATATGAGTGAAACTGTGTGAAAGCAGGAGGGTTTCAACCCCCAAAAAAACAGTCAGCAAAAGGCAAAGAAAATCCATGCAGAACCATGGCAACTTCTCCCTGTGCCCACTGTCACCAGTCAGAAGAGCCAAAAGCAGACACAGCACCTCTCTTCAGAACAAGAATTTTATCCTTTATAATAAACTAGTTTTGCTTATATTAAAACTAGTTCAGACTGCTAAAATAGTGTGAAACAAGAGGAAAACATCAGGAAACCTTGAACCAGACATTCACGATGGTTACCCTGCAGGTAGTAGTTGAGGTCTAAGCCAGGGAGATTTAGTCCATCTTATTTCTTCAGTCTTCCTGCATGGCACTGAAGGAAGAGTCCTAGGCAGCAGCAGGCACTACTTAGAGCCTAATGTCCCTAGGGCTGAGATGTTCTCTGTTCCATATGGCTGAGCAGTGATTAGATTTCATTTGTGGATCAGGAGTAAACTGGCACAGGTTGCCCAGAGATGGTTGATGCCCCATCCCTGGAGACTTTCAAGGCAAGGCTGGATCAGGTCCTGGGCAACCCAGTAGGGCTGTGGTGACCCAGTGCACTGCAGGGGAGTTGGACTGGATGGCCTTTAAAGGCCTCTTCCAACTCGAAGGATTCTATGATTCTATCTTCCATGTTCTTTGTTTGTATGTAACCTATAAAAAGCTTCATTGTCCTAAGGGAAAGATTCTGGGCTAGGGAGGAGCTGTGCCATTTTGGAAACATCTTCTTTTAATTTTTGTTCAGGCTCAGATCAGCGTTCGTCTCTCAAGGCTGCAGTACACATCGAGGGAGGCAGGCTGTATTCCCATGGTTTGAAAGGGACAGAGTGTCTATGGGATGAGCCCTCCCCACTCCGTGTCCCCTTGTGCTTCCCAAGTGCTTGGCATTCCATACAAATTACAGTCCTTTGTGGTACAGAATACTGTGCTATTTTAACGGGCTGGGGGGGTGGTGGTGCTGGGGGGAACATAATAGGTTGAGGAGTATTTTCTTACTATGTGAGATGGTTTGTTTAGGCTCCCATCCTGCAACCAGGGCCAAAGGCATGGACCCCAGCAGCCCTGTGGGATTCTGTGAATACAAGAGGTCTTCTCTACTATCGCACCCTTGAGTATCACTTCATGTGTAAATTCTGCTGTCAGCTGCTGCTTCTTGGTATAGTTAAACTGAACAGTGAAAGGGAAAGGAGCTATCGGGCACAAATCCCATAATACCCATACACAACTGAGTCGCTGAGCAATAGACAGACAGGTGCTAGCGTTCGTTTCAGGTGGGGGAATGATTCTTAAACCTGGAATCCAAGAGGAGGTGTGAAAAGAACAGGCAAGGCAGAAGCTTCCTTGATGAAAACTGTTGAAGTTTACACTAGGAGACAATAAGCAAATTACTGACTTGGAGAATCCCATTTTCAGGAGTCTGTGAAAAGTGTTGAGAGAAGGCCCGGAAGATCAAAAGGAGGCAAAAGCGTTAACAGACCTTCCTGAGAATGAGAATGTGGAGCAGGAGCCTTGTTAGAGCCTTTTAGGGTGACAGCACAGAGAGGAGAGGGACATATATACTCTATAAGGTAATCTAAAGACTTGGGCCCTCCCGGCTTAAAGCAAAAAGAGCTGAGAGCTGGCAGCAAGAGCCACTAAGCCCTGGGGAGCCACTAAACAGCTGCATCACATATATTGTTTTTAAGATTTGTTTTCTCAGAATAGTTTGGTTATAATATCTGTCCAGATTCTGTAGATCCAGGCTGCTTGCACTGACAGCAGTAGAAAACAAACAGCATCCCTGGAGCAAAGTATTTTTAGTTAGAACATGAGTCTGTACACAAAAAAACTGCGGATCAGAAATGATTTTTCTAACTTAAAAACCTGCTTTTCATCAACATCTAGCATTTCAAAATTGCAGTGAACTCTCACAGCCTCTCCTACGACTCATCCATCCACCCTCACTGACAGCACATCCACCCATGTCTCCGTCCACACCAAACCAGCAGAGGTCACACATTTAAGTATGTGTGCAGGTGAGCAACCTTGCTCAGTGCCATAAGGTGCAATAGGAAGGCACTGCATGGGTGAACAGTAACTGTCAGTAACTGTTTATCAGGAGTTGTCAGTTTAACTGCTGTACTGGCAATGTTGGCATGTGGTATTTTGGAGCTGAAAGCTGTCCTCAATCGGCAGTGAAGAATCACAGAATCACAGTGGTTGGGTTGGAAAGGACCTGAAAGATCATCTGGGACTGGTGGCAGGATCACCCATCACTGAATCAGGCACCAGCTCAGGCTGCCCAGAGTCCCATCCATGGCATTGGGCACCTCCAGGAATGGGGCACCCACAGTCCTCTGGGCAGCAGTGCCAGGGCTTCAGTCCCCTCTCATCTCCCTGGATGTCTAATCTAAAGCTCCCCTTGAGGAAACTCAGAACATCCGCGTGCTCTGAGCTGTACCTCAGCAGTGGCTCTTCCAGCACCAACTCAAGAGGCCAACTGATGCACATGCTCGTGTGGTCAAGCACAGAGAGCTTCAGTGTGGCTCCTTGTGTTTAGGACTGTGAAGGGACAGAGCCAGGATGTCAGAATATAGGGGATGCTTTAATCAAAAGTTGAGAAACAGTGGCTTGTGAATATCTCCCCATGGTCTGCACAAGTTGTGTAGCTCTTTTCACCTGCTAAGCTGCAGAGACAGGTAACTTTCAAGTCATGATTCTGCAGACTCCCTTTACCCTCTTGGTATGAGTAGAAACAGTGACAGCTCGTGTAAATACAACATGGAAAAGGGGCTGCTTTCTTTAAAGGTATGTCTCATATCTGAGAATCCCCACTAATAATGCCTAGCAGGCAAGGAGGAGGAAAGTACCAGGAGCAACATGAGTGAGGCCCTGCATCCTGAGGCATTATTTTAAGTTGTTCTTTTAAAAAAAGGTTGGCTTTTCTGAGGAGCTGTATGGGTTAGGAGGTAGTAAAGGATCACTTTCTGTAGGGCTCAGCCATATTGCTTAGATAGCTGGCAAGAAAACACGCTCTCAGAGATTGCTTCTGTTGGACCTGACAGGAACTGCATCGCTGACTTCAGTGGGATCTAGCTGAGGCCCTTATCTGTTAAAGAAATAACAGGGACATGAGTGTTTTCCCTTCTGTCTCCCTGCTTTGGGCTCTTCTGCCCACCACAGTGTTCCTGCTTTCTCAGGCTGACTTGATCGCAGCAGCGTGTGCCTCTGACCCAGGGAGCTCCTGCAGAGGGGAGAAAGTGTTGTGCTGCAGCTTTGTGCTCAGGCAGCTCCTCCGATTATGAATGCAATAGCCTCAAAGAATCTGAGGAATCACAGATATTCTGGGGGAAAAGAATCCGTTGGCTGAAAGTGGCTGCTTAAAAAAGGAAAAGAATGAACCAGCATCTTGATTCAACACGTCTGTTATATCAATCATTTACACTGAGTGGGCAGCAAAGATATGATCTAAGAGAGGTGCGGGATTCTTCGTTCCTGTTAGAAGCTGAGCATGCCTTTGGTGTGAAATCAGAATGTTTTTATATTGGCTTGGTCGCCAAACGTTTTTTATCAGCTCATTTCAATGGTAATGTGGCAAAAAGGGTGGAGCTGGTCATTATGTTTCCGACTGTGCATTTCTTGAAGGGCTAGCTATTTCACAAGGCTTTATAAGATGTGGACTCTGACACTTTCAGGCCTTGAGGGTTCTCCGATGTGCTGATTTCCCCCCTGCGTTTCTCAAGCTTGGGTTCATATTGAGATATGAGCCCTTCTTTTCCTTGGAGGAGGTTCTAGCACGTGCCCACTTACTGATAATGCAGTCATCCTCAGAGCTCGCTTTTCTCACATTTAAAGCAAAAAGAAGATATATTGGGATAAAGCAGCAAATGCCATCACCTGCTCCAGGAATCAGCAGGATGCTGCTCAGACTGATAAGCAGCTGGATCAATATCCATGTTGATATTTTGGCATCCAACTGCCCATGGATTTCACTGGGAATTCAGACACTTAATTGGGATTTAGTTTGAATATCTCTGTGCACCTGGCTCTGTGCCCGGTATGAGGTGTTAGCAGGATCAGCCCCCCAGCTCATATGCTCAAATCTGCCATGATCTTTCTGTAGGCAAGCCCATATGCTCCCCGGTGGACTCACTGCAGTCATCTTTTCAGAATTTAAGTTTGGTTATGAATGAGGAGCTTTCCATATTTCTTTGACCTGTGCAGCAATTTCATTGCCTCCAAGGCATCACAGAAGCAAAAAGAATAATTAGGGTAGTTTAGCAAAATACAAGGCACAAGCAAATAATTGTTTCAGTGATCAACTTAAAAGGATGGGAATGCTGGGCTTCCTTTGTGGCTGGTGCCTTTCTCCTCCCTGGATTTAGAACCAGACAGTGTTGTCTTTTGGTGGTGCACACTGTGTGAATACTTCCACTGGCACAGGTTTGGACTAACTGAAGTGATTGGCCTTTGCTAAGGAGGCAAAATCAGAGCTTATATATCCCAACCAGGAACCAAACAGCTCTTAATGCCAAGCCAGCCTCTCATTCTTGTTTTCTTGCTGTCTCAGGACCAGAAAATAATTTCCTTAAAGACCAATTTCTCTATAGCTGAGATTGCATTTGACAGTGGGAGTAATGCAGAAGTACTGAGTTCTGAGCCCTTTGGCTTTGCAGTTCTGACAGCCCTAATTTAGTGCAGATAGATGGTACAAAGAATGTGAGTAGAAGGCATAGAGGGGCAAATGGGACAATGTATGCCACGTCTGTCACTGCCGCTGGCTTCTACTGAGTGTCTGCATTGCACTTGTCAATCATTCAGTGTGCTTTCTGTAGCGCTCACCACTGCAAAATGTTGATGATTCAATATTAAAAGCAGTCTAAAAGTGATGATCTGCCTGCATCGTGCATTCTGAAGGGATGGATGGGTGGATGACCTTGCATCCAGTTGTTGTACAAAACATGTGTCTAGACAAATGAGAGAAGCCTGAAGAATCGACATCTTTATACTGCTGTCCATCGCTCCACCGAGCCTTGTGCCATCTGCAATCTTTATCAGCATCAGCACTCTCTTCTGAACTCTGATAACGTTCTTGAATGGCAGCAGTAAGATGTATCCCTGTGCTGTACTCCTTGGAGCTCTCAGACTACATTCTTTGCCCCTTTGATTTCCCACATGCAGCTGCTGCTTGCCCATATTTGAGCCACAGGCTGTGCTGAATCACTTTTTATAAAGCCTTGTTTAAAACAACATTTTGTGAATATTTTTCTTATTTACTTTGTCAACTCCACTGCTTTTTGCCGAATTAATCCATAATCGCTAAAACAGGTAAAGCTTTGTAAGACCTGTATTCCATTACATCAAGAGGATCGATGCCTTGTGAGACTTTGGTTTTGTAACTGGTGGCATGTCATCATGACTTTATAATAGTCTTACCTGGAATTGATGCTGTGTTGACCCTTTTTTCATATATATCATCTGCAGATTGTTTGAGGGCTATGGAAGTCAGAGGACCATCGCCATGTGGAAGAACCCTGCCTAACTGACATCCAGAACTCGGAGTGGCTCCAGTAGAAGATACTACAGCCTTGACCTGGCTTTGAGAGGTTGTGCACAACTGGCAGTGTCCACACCGGAGTGAAGCTTTCTTTAAATGCCTTCACGTTTTGGAATACCAAGAGTGCCTTAAGGTAAGAGGCCATAGATGAGACAACTCCTTCCCTTAATTTCTTTGTACTTTGGTAGTGTTTGCCAGCTCATCTTTTGTATTTCCCAACTTAGAAGTTGAAGTATTTCTCTAGTTAGCACTTTCTGCAAATGGTATTGTAGTGTCACAGAATCACAAAACAGCTGAAGTTGGAGAGGAACTTAAATACCATCCAGTCTCACCCCTTCCATGGGCTGAATGCCCCCTACCAGATGGGGCTGCCCAGAGCCCCGTGCAGCCTGGCCTTTGGCACCTCCAGGGATGGAGCATCCACAACACGAGCAGTAGATTAATCTCCAAGCACTTAATGTACATTTCTAGTAGCAGAGACCGAGGAAAGGTGCCTTACAAAGAGAAAAGGAAAAGACTGCTCCACAATTACTTTTCAAGACAAACATTTCGGCAGTTTGCCAGAAAAACGTGAAATGCTGCCCGTCAGCATCAGCTGCAACATGCATCCTCCCCCTGCAGCCTGTGCCACTGACATCTTTCAGGCCTTTGAATAAAGCTCAGGAACAGTTGTATTTCAAGGAAAGGCCAGGATTCTTTGATTCATTGCTTGTGTGCAGGCTTTGTGAGATGCACATAACTGCATATGTTATTACGCTTGAAATATTTTGTATGCCGTTACTGCATGTTCATAGACCAAAACTTGGTAGGCAGGTAGGAACCTGAGAAGGAGGAGAAGCATAAATCAAGGTATAAAACTGCCCTGAGTAGCATTTTGTGTTTCACTGTTTTGACCCAGAATTAGAGGATAAAGGCATTTTCCACTGGTGCATTGCTTTTTCCTTTCTCCGTGTGTCTGTTTTGGGCTTGTTGGAGTTCTTCATTAAATCCAGAATCTGTATCAAATGAGCTGTAGTGTGCTGCAGCACATAAAGGTTTCAAAGCAACAATTACTCTATTATTTCAGCAGAGATTACCTGTTTGAAATGAAACCCACACTGACCTGGTCCTCATTGTGATACTGATAACAAGCCACGCTGCCCCATCTTTATCTTACCTCCTACAGGGTAATCCTTTCTTCTGGAGCTTAATTCTGCTAATAGCACCCTTGACTGGTTGCCAGACAACAACCACAGGCAGGTGAAAAATGAATGGCTCCAGTGTGACCGGCGATAACTGCTAGAGAGGTTTTATTCTCAGAGCCCCTCCAAAACATACAAGTGGACTGGTGGGCAATCCATTACATTCCTTGTATGCTTCTCCCTCCTTCAAACTGATTATTCTGTGATGATCTCTTCTACGGTTTCAGATTCTTTCTCTTTTTTTCTTCCTCCTCCAAACAACAGTAAACAGTAATTCCAGATGGTAGAAATTACTTTTAAATTAAACCAGTTAATACAGAGAGTGTATGCTTATCTAATCCCCCTTTTTAAGTGGTGAGGATACAATGCAAATGGGTAAAACTGATGTGCAGTGAAGGTATGCAAAACAGTTTGAGATTGCAAAAGGTTTTTTTTTCCTCCTTTTCCTGATTTACTGTCCATGAAAATGAATTATAGACTCGCGAAGAAAACAGAAGTTTTTATTTGCTGAACTCAATAGGCTCCTTTCTGGGGACTTGAACTCTGCAAAGTGCTGAAAAAAAGATTACTGCATTCCACTGACAGTTCTTCTGTTTGAACCAAACGGGAGGGAGGACAGTTTGCCGTGCTCTGCTTCCCAAAGAAACCACAGGGCTCTTTGCTGTCCCTCTGCTCCTCTTGATAAATGATGCATCCCAGCCTCGCTTTAATTTTGAGCAGTTCCTCTTCAAACCAGTGAGTGCAGGAGATACGTAGCACAGTGCAGGTTTGTACCATGCAGGAATCACAGAATCATACAATTGCTCAGGTTGGAAAAGACCTTAAAGACCATTGAGTCCAACCGCAACCCAACCATCCCACCCTAATCTGACAGCCTCTGCTAAATGAAAAGCCTTTTTCCGACAGAAAGTGGTGCCGATGGGCATCGTTTCACTTCAACCAGTGGATATGCAGAATTTGCATCGGCTGAAGACTTAGTAGGGACTCACTTGTTTTTCCAAAGTGATTTTGCTTTTACCATTTGAGTATTTGATTATAAGGCGACTCGTTAGTGCTAAGGGGGGAATATGGTTGGCTTCGCTGGAAAGTATAAAAGTATTCACTGTTCCTTCAGGGAAATCATTTTAATAGATAACAGCATGTTGTACAACGTTTCATCAGTGATATTTAGATCTAAATTAGGAGCAGTTGTGAGATGGGTTGCCGATTTTCTTGTGATAAAAGGGAAATAGTTCAAGAAATACGGACCAGATGTTATCTTAATCCGATCCTCATGTACGAGAGCACACTATGAGACAGTAATAATAGTCCCTTCTACCTGTTTCTAATTTTCCTTCTCTGCAACACCCCCTGTGAAAAATAGATTAAACCAACACATCATTTATGAATCGGCGCTGGGCGGGTTTGAGTTTGCATGGAATGCAGTGTGCGGAGGTGCAGCGCTGCGCCGTGCTGCATGTCTCACAGCGCTCGTTTGACAGCGCCGCTTCACACAGCAGCTCTCTGTGATTTAAAAGCAGAGCGGCCAGTTTGGGTTTGAATCAGGCTTTTGGTTCAGCATATCCTTACACGGTCTCAAATTTGTCATCGGTGTTTCTAGGCTGTGTATGTTATACAATCCTCAGCAGACCGAAAAAGAGGGGGTTGATCCTCAGCTGCTGTAAATCAACACTGATCCATTGATTTAGATGGAACTACACTGATTTGTACCATCTCATGGTCTGGACGAAGTATATTAACTTTCCCCATGAAAATCCTTCACAACAAAAAGCTCCATTCACAGTCCTGGTGGATAAACAGTAATTAATGTGTCTCTGTTCTCGTAATAATGTTTAATACCTGCATCATTTCCTCCTTGCTGGAGCAGTTGAAACATTACTCTTTGCTTTGACGTAAGAAGTCGAGTGCTGCGCATTTGTAATATTTGGGACAGCTTTCTTTGTAACTCTCCATCTGAGCTAAAACTTCTGCTTGAATACTATGCATGAGGGGGAATGGTTTTAAAGTGAGACAGGGGAGGTTTGGGTTGGATGTTAGGAGGAAGTTTTTCAGCCAGAGGGTGGTGAGGCACTGGCACAGGTTGCCCAAGGAGGCTGTGGATGCCCCATCCCTGCAGGCATTCAAGGCCAGGCTGGATGTGGCTCTGGGCAGCCTGGGCTGCTGGTTGGCAACCTGCAGACAGCAGGGGGTTGGAGCTGGATGAGCACTGTGCTCCTTTGCAACCCAGGCCATGCTGTGATTCTGTGATTCCATGAATGTGTAGCATTGCAAATGAATTCCTCCCTCTGTTAATCCAATAATTTTTTATATTGGGCCTGTATTCCGAAGCCCTGCAGATCTTTTGAGGGCCTGTTTTTTGCATGAAATGCTCCGAGTCAGGCAGTGTAGTAAGACGTGAGAGGTGAATCAACAGGAAGAGGAGAGGGTGGGATCGTAAGGAATGGCACGAGAAGGTGCAAAAGCAGGGTTTGCGTTGTCACATGCTGTGGACTGCTCACATCAATGGGAAAGCTGTCATTTGGGATACGAGTGCTTCAGAAACTTGAGTGGACAGTTTGGCTGGCAATCAAAATGAACTAAAGGAGAGATTTAGATTGGATATAAGGATGAGGTTTTTTTGCAGTAAGGATGGTGAGGCACAGCACAGGTTGCCCAGAGTGGTGATGGATGTCCCATCCCTGCAGACAGCCGAGGTCAGTGGATGAGCTCTGAGCACTGATGGAGCTGTGGGTGTCCCTGTGCATTGCTGGATGTGGGACCAGAGGGTCTTAAAGGGTCCCTTCCAACACACAGTTATTTTGTAACTCTATGAAGCGAAGTGTGGAGTGGATGAAAATAGTGATAGGAGAGAAAAGCTATGCGGCAGACAGCGTGTGGGTTGGGAAGGCTGGAAACACTGCAGCAGCAGAGCTCAATACACACATCTGAGCAAAATGCAAACTGCAGCCTGGAGATCTCCGTGCTAAAAGGCACTGGTGGTGGTGATAGTGGGGTATGTAGGTTAATACTGAAAGCGTGCTATTAGTAATGACCAAAGACCTTTAGCCTCCTGTCCAAAATCCCTTTTTACTGTATGGAACGGGAAAGTAAACTCTATCATGTTGGGCTATTTAGTAAGCTATTAGTGCATTCATCTTTTCATCATTTGACAGGTGGAAGTAGTAGTCCAGCTTTTAGTTTTAATTATAAGGGATTCCAGATGTAGAATAGGACATAAATTAAAACCAGATCTACTCATATGTCTTTTCAAAGTAAGCCAACTTCAAGGTATCTGCTTTTCATTTCAAAACGTTATTAAAGCTATTACTAAGAAATTCATAGTCTTTGCGTGCTCCAATAATTGACACCTTTAAAGTGACTAAACAGATTTAGAGTGTGCAGAAAAGTAAATTTGTCTTAGAGAATGACTCTAATCATCCATTTACATATAATGGACAAATCAGTGTTTGTGCTGCCGAGGGGAGGTGAGCAGCCTGTCTGATGGCTCTGACTGCTCCTCCAGCCCAGGCGGCCGCTGGGTGTTAGCTTGGTTCTGTGCTGCTCTGCTGTGCGAGCAAGGAGACAGAATGAAGGCCTGACCCAGCGCCAGTGGAAGCCAATGGGAGGCTTTTGATGAGCCCTCTATCGCAGCCTCCTCCTCTCTCATTGACTTTCTGTTACGTTGTGTCGGAAGTGGCGTTTTTTGAAAGAAAATTAAATCCAGAACTGCTTTTTTTTTTTCCAGTGGTAGCGTCTTTACCCCCCAGCTGTAACCAAACCTGCAGATTCCTTTCTAAAAACCCTTTATTTCCTCAAGACCTATTTATCCAGTGGTACGGTATGACCATGCAAATACGCTGTCCGTCTGACTTCATAAAAAGTTTCTAATAATTAGAATGATAGCTGGCAAGTCTGATAAATTAGAGAAATAACTTGTTTGGTGTAAACTGAGCCTGTTTCTGAGGCAGAAATG